TTACGCCACTGTAGGTTAGTAGGTAGCACATAGTTACAATAGAAAAAATTCTGTCGACAGCGGTCGGAGAACGTAAAGAATAGCGTAATGATATATTAATATTTTAAAACACGCGCAAAAATATCTAATGCGGTAAAGAAAATAATTTCATAAAATCATAGTTTTCAGATAGCATGTCGGTTAAAACTTAATGTTAGGTTAGACTCCCACTATACCGAGAGCATTACACTACTCGTTTTGTCATCGTTGTATATATATCGTATCATCATATAATATTATTAAATTTTGATGGCTAAGATAGTTGAAGGTACTTGCATAGAAAGTGCAATCAGAATTCCCAAAATAACAACAATTTGTACCAAACCGATCAGTATATTAACCTAACATAACCTAATCTGTGCAGACAGCAAACATATATAAACGTAACGGCTGCGTATAAATAGAATCCAACTTATTTATCAATCGCAATTATAATTAGGTTGGTACTTTAAAATATATCAAAATGGTAAGCTATACATTTATAAACCGTCAAATATTTATATAATATAGGCGCGTTGGACACGAACTCACGTGGTCGTATTTTCCAAAACACTTTAGTTTTTTTCGTCAGTATCATCTCTCTCTGGTTTTTTTTTATTTATTTTTCGTCCATTTAAATTAACTTTGCACCAGATTAAATTCCTGTAAGCGTAACATCAGTCAGTGGCGTATTTACAAAGGGATTCCGGAATTATTCCCCACCACCCACAACCACTAGGCCACACAAATTTATTACAAAGGGAGAACACACGAATCATAAACTTTTGGCTTTTAATTTACATTTAAAAAAAATATATATTAACAATTTTTCAGTTTCCATCATCGATGTCTGACTAGATAAGTTGTAACCCATAATATGTGCACTTAACTCAAACTCTTATTACATAATATTTTGTAATTAGAATTTATTTCCGTAAATAAATTATTATTATTATTTGATACATTTTGAACCAAACCTCGTAAACTATGATATTATTTAGAATGTTATAATTGTTTATTGTTATAATAGTTTAGTTAACACAGTTTAAATGTCTATAAATATATGTTTATTAATATGATAATGTTTATTATATACGTATTACAAAATTATAAACATTAATAAACATTTTTGATTATTATTATTATTATTATAAAAGTTTTGCCATAGCGCAGATTTAATTAACGATAATATTATGTACCTATAGTTGTATTGTAATGATCGGTTATTCTATTCGAAATGTCGATGATCCGTCTACGACTACCGACCGATCGTTTATAAAAAAAAAGCATAATATAATATTATAATTAAAATAAATGACGTGGCGGTATTCYGAGAATATGCTTCACATATTGATAAAATCAAGTTACCATATTCCGCTCGTATCGGATCATTTAAAACTCGTATATAATTTTTAAGTAGTAATAACCTGTAAAATGGTTATAGTATGTTTGAAACAGAATTTATGTTTACATTTTGGCGAAATAGACGCGCGGTGACTAAAAAAAAAACCCCCCAAAAATATATGCCAAAATCGAGATCGATTGTAATCCGTGGCGGCGCGGCGGTGCGTACTCTTTCCGTGTGTCAATAATACTCTCTGCCRGAGGACCACACGCAGACCGCGATTACCCTCGTTCCATTGGTCACACGCCCTCGCACTCAAAGGGTTTAACAGCCAATCAAAATCACAGTATTCGATSAAGAGCCCCGCACGACCGCGGTTGCCACTAGGTCATTGTATTTTYGTGAAATCGACGGCGGTGCGTAAATATTAACACATTTATTCGTCCGTGCTACATCGCCGCTGCTGACGATCGACCGATTTTATGTCTACGAATAATAGATAACATATTTATTTAGGTACTTAACAACGTAAAACGGACCCCAAGAAGTTCAATAAAGGACTGCAATAACTCTCAAAAAATATTTTTCGTTCTTGAATTTAAATCGTTTTGAAAAAAATAACGTTAGACATAATAATATACGGTAGGTAATATATTTGGCCTGTTTTGGCGATGCAGTTTTGAACGACCTGCAGGTTATCATTTTAGCTCAAAAGTTTTAGTTTATTCGCTCAAACTAAGTAAACAATTTGCTCAAAACTGCATCGCTAAAAACCGTCTATAGTAATATATAGTATAATATAGTTAACGAGTCTTACATAATATTAATTTGAATTGTATTACAGTCTCGAACTGGATGTTCGATATTCATTTAAATATYATATTATATAGGTACGTATGTGCACTGTTCGTGGATTTCGCTAATCTAACACGTGTTATATTTATTATTATTATTATTATGATAACGAGTGACGATAATTTATTTTTTGGCGGTAGATTTTTTCGGTTTGTTA